GAACCATTTTAAAACAGCTCATTAGGCATGATGCTTTATCGTGTTCCAGCGAGTCAGTAGGATCTCAGACAACAAGACTCCAACATCTTCCATTAGTGATGTCTCCAAGCACAGCCAAGGCCTCCATTGTTCCTAAACTTTAAAAGAAACCCCAGCTAAGATGGGATTTGTTGCTACTTTTCCTTTTCTTTAAATCTATTTTTATGTTTGAGATGCCGCACACAATCTTTAAGTGGGGCATTGCTTTATAGCTACATTTTATTATTTTAATAATTTTTCACATTCTGTCCAAGTCAAATGTGGGAAATTGTTTCGATTTGTGTGGCCCAGAGATAGAAGTGAAAAAAAAAAAAAAACCTGCACAGATCTGCAGATATCTGTTCCCCCTGCGGATTCGGAGCCTCTTTATACGAGTCAGCGTGACATGGAAAAAATTTGGACCAGAGATTAAAAGTCGTACGCAGCCAGTGTGACCAGGACTTTATGCTCTGCAATTCGGGGTCTGAATTTCCACTGCATTCCAATTAATGAACGTCACCTGATGCTGCATGCACAGCCCTCACACAGGAAGTCGGTGTTTCAGTAGTAAAAGAAGAACAAGAAGCTGTTAGCCTTATAAGCCTGACAAAGACTTACTTTGTCATTGACATGATGCTTTTTACTGTCATAAAATATGACCAGTGCTGTTGTAGTAAACTGTGACTTAGTAAACAGTGTTTCAGCATCATCAGTGCAGCGCTGTAATTATGGTCTATCTTTGCAGCAGTTCTGCATGGCTGGTGGCTGCAGTCACCTGCAATGGCAGTTGTGTCACTTGTCAGTTTCTCATCCTGCTTCCAGTTCCTTTAGGTAGTAATTTATGGACGTGAGTGCTTTTGTTCAGCATTCTCCCTAAAAATCATCAGAGTTGACTTCTTTGGATTACTTGTAGTTATTAAAGAGGATGGCAGAATGGAAAGAGACGATTCTAATAAACAACAAAAAAACCTGGTATTCCTACCAATAGAGGCTGCTAGTTTTTGCCTTGGATTGATCAGCTTAAGTTACTCTGAGTCCTGATGTTTTCTGGACGCTCTCAGTGCTGACATCATGCATGTTGCATTCAAGGCTCATTCCCTCAAGTCTGACTGTGCAAGGCCACATCCTTGGCCTGTTAACTACTGCATGTGTGTGTGTGTGTGTGCTTGCACTGTCACGTATGACTCAGGGGGGGAGGGGCGGGCAAGCTGTAGCATCTGAAAAAGCCTCAATAATTCATATGTTTGGGATTTGCATCTCTCCCACATACACACACTCACAGATCTTGTAGGGGAACTAAATGCCTCATTTTAATACCAACAAGTCAGGCTACTGAGTGCATGCACACTTCTAACCAGTTTGATGCATGCATGCTTTTTGTAGACATTTTTACTGTTAGATTGTTTTTTTGTTTTAAGTTAAAGCATCCTCCTTTTTAGTAAAAGTGTGAGAGGGATGCATTGTCATGAGAGGCTGCTTGTCTCGTGTGCCAGACAGCCTGCATGCTGACCTACTTTGGTTCAGATTCTGTATTTTTTATGAGATTGGAAGAAGCAGACACTCTCAGCACAAATGGAGATGGATATATAAAGCTCACTGCATGCAACTGGCTTCTACACAAAGACACCTAACGCTTGTTTGGTAGGAGGCAAAATCCCTCCATAAATACGTATTTATTTATCTACAAACCTTAATGCCACCAAGGATGCTGGTTGGCATAGAGACAGATGCCTGAAGGACAGATTTTCAGACACAGAAGCATAAAACTAAACAGATGCTCAAGGAAATTTCACAAGCTTTCTGGGAAAAGGATCAAAGGAAGTCACAATGTGAATGACACATGCTCAGACACATTCATACGATGCAAACAAACGGGTGACAGCTACTCATTAGTGCAGAGCAATGGCAGCTCGTTTCATCAGGTTTGTTTCTGCTCCATTTATGTGAAAGGAAATTCTTAAACATCATCACTCCTGGTTCCAAGGCCAAAATCATTTAGCGGCCCTGAGCTTTTCAAACAGAGGCTCTGATTCATTGATTAATTACTGCTTAGACTAGTTGACTTACCGTTGATACATGCAAAGTTATGGTCACTTCAACACAAGGTACAGAGCCGTCTCTCTGCTGCAGCACGCCTGGAACAGTCCCACATCTCGTCAGCAACGGAACCAGATAAAAGAGAATATGTTATTGGTAATATCATACAAACTCCCAGCAGTTTGAGAGGAAAACAACTCATGTTTTGGGGGCTTTATAGCCTCCTTTTTATCAGAACCAACAGCCCAGAAGCTTGAAATCCTTTAAAGTGGGCTGCTGGAACCCTAAACCTATAACCATCTAATCTCAGCTTCCACAAGGGCAGTTTGAGTGTAGCTGCTGGCATCAGTTTCATTCTCTAACAACCTTTTTCCAAATCCACTGTTGTGCCTTCTACTGGTGGAGAGAAGAAACACCGATATTGGACAGTTCACTATTCGGCTCACATCGTCTGGCTACTGTAAAAACGATCCACACAAACATTAAATATGACCTTGCCAGAAGTTATTTATAAATTTTCTGTTGAATCTGCTGCCCTGAAGATTTACCTTACCAGCCAGCCTGCAACCCATGTTTCACTTAAGCAGAATAGAAATATGATTGATTTTCCCCTCAGTGGAGAAATAGCAGCAGCAAAGTTATAGACGAGCTGAAGCATATAGAAATATAAAAATAAAATAAAACACTAAGTTCAACTTTGCAGCATAATAAAAGAAGCAGAATATTTGATTATATAAAAAATTCTTAGAAGAACCTGGATAGTATAATTAAGAATAATAAATATATTCATATTACCGTGAATAAAAAAAAAAAATCATTTACAATACTATGTAGAAAATGGTTGAAATGGCATGATATACAGTGCCCTCCTCAATTATTGGCACCCCTGGTTAAGATGTGGTGGAGGACTTCAAAAAATTCTCCTTTTTTTTTTTTTAAACAACAAAGAAACCTGTCATGATTTTATGCAAAGATCTGGCCCACATGCAAAAAAACAAACAGAGAGACCAGGGGAAGGTTTAACAGGTTTATTGAGAACTGGTAGAGATGGGTCCAGTGCTGCTCTGAACACTGGCGAACCGGGACTGAAAAGTGAAGGGGAAGTTCCTGTGGTTAGTTTAGCCTTAGTGGGAAATTTGAGCTTTGATTTGCACAAGGGAATTAAGGCAACAGGACTAACGTCATTATCCTGCTGAAAGACCCAATGATGACCCATCTTCAGCTTTTTGGCAGAGGCCATCAGGATTTTATTTAAAATTTTCTGGTATTTCAAAGCAATCATGATGCCATGCAGCCTAACAAGGTTCCCAGGGCCTTTAGAAGAGAAACAGGCATTACAGATCCTCCACCATACTTCACTGTGGGCATGAGGTGCTTTTTGGCATACTCATCTTTTGTTTTAGGCCAGACCCACTTAGAGTTTGGGCTAAAGCTGGGACTAAAAGCTCAATCTTAGTCCCATCTGACCAAAGCACAACATCCCAGTTGAAGTCCCAGTGCCGCTTAGCAAACTCCAGACGTTTACGTTTGTGAGTGTTGGTGAGAAAAGGCTTTTTCCTTGCATGCCCTCCAAACAGCTTGTTGGCATGTAGAGAGCATCTGATGGTTGTTTTGGAGACTTTGTGACCCCAAGATTCCACTGTTTGTTGCAATTCTGTGACAGTAAGTGTTGGACTTTTTTACTTCTGTTACCATCCCCTTCACTGTGCGTTGTGGCAAGATAAACTTGGGACCTCTTTCAGCCTTGTTTGTCACTGTTCCAGTTGTTTTAAACTTCTTAATGATTCCTCTAACTGAAGATACAGACAAGTTAAGGCGAGTGGCTATTTTCTTATAACCATTGCCTGATTTATGAAGGTCGACGCACATCTGCCTTACTTGAATTGTGTGTTCTCTTGTCTTTGCAATGCTGACTAAATGGTTTAGGCATCTGCGTCACGTCATATTTATACCCCAGGGAAACAGGAAGTCATGAATTACTAATGAAAATTTCCTAGATACCCTGACCAACTTTAGCAACTACAGAAAAATAAATTTAAAGGAAATCAATCACTTTATTTAGCTGAATTTTTAGGGGTGCCAATAATTGTGGGACACATGATTTCATGTTTTTTATCTTCTAAATGTGTGATTTTATTTTTACCACCAAAGTAATATACTTAAATAAAAGGTTGGATTTTTCTCTTTTTTTGCATTTTGGTTCTTTGTTGTTAAAAAGTAAAGTAGAATTTTTTTAAATCCTCAACCACATCTTAAACAGGGGTGCCAATAATTGCGAAGGGCACTGTAAATAACTATTTTATGTTGGGAGCAGTGGCTGTTCTAAAGCCTAACCGCTGCTTGGAGGAAGGATATGAGATGGCGCTCCTTGGTGCATAGAGAATACAGGCATCTGTCACTGAAGGAGCTCTTTCTGTTGGCTGTTGGGGGTTGGCAGTGTGGGGGTGTAATTCATTGTAGTAATTTTTGCCAGAACACTATTTGTTGTAAAACTTGGAATTCAGCATCATTGATTAACACAGAATATATCTAAATCTACCTGAAATATGTGTTGCTCTAAATTTTTTTTATAAATTTTTTTTTTTTTATTGAAACATTACCTTGAATGTCTGAGAAGTAAAAGAAGCATCCAACCCTGATCATTATCCTTCGAGCTTGTAAAGAAATGTTGACTGACCCATATGTTAAACATATTTTTTGAGATGCTTGGAGTTTTATTTTTGTTTGTTTGTTTTTTCCCATTTAAACTTTAAGTACCATAAGGTAGCAGCTATGAACCAAACTGTTTGGTTTTAACAGATTTTTTTTTTTTTATGTTGTTTTTTATTCCAGAAGGTAAAAAAGCCATAAATATCTGAACCAATTTGTAAAAATCTAGAAGTAAGTTCAAAAATAGACAAATTGTATATTTATCAGTTCTTCTCTGTCTGCTTCCTACAGAACGAGAAACGAAGGAAGAAGGACGCTTCCCTGTCTACCACCAGTTTGACCAGTCCAGTCCAATCGTCAGAATCCCAAACACCAAAACCGTTGTTTCCCCCGACTTTATTCGGGGCTTTTTAAGCATTCCTCAGCGGGTTCTTCCAAAACATTCTCTGTGGTGTTCTGCACAGCTCCACTCGCCTCGGGGCCTTGGACCTTCATGCGTCTCTTAGCAGCAGAGTCCACCCACACCTTCACCCACCACACCACCACCCGTACCATGAGCTGTGAACAGGAGTTTGGAGACGGGGCCATGGGGGTCACGCTCACCCTGCGCCTTCTAATGCACGGAAAGGTAACGAGTGAAGCATGCGCTCTGGACTACTACATCAAACAATCCTGAATGAAGACTTTATTACAGGTTTTTATTTACCTATGGGGGGTAGCTAAACTAGATGTTAAAGCATATCGCCGCCACAAGACGCATGTTGAAAATGTCACCAAAATGGGTGGTGTGGTCCGGAAGAGGAAAAGTAACAGGTAATATAATACATTAAACAATCTGTGAAAATAGAACAAAATTTATGCTGAAAAATAAAATGCTCACCTGAAAAAGTGCTATCAGTAAAAGCTCAATATGTTCACAATTTCAGCTCCTGTCTCGTTATGGGGCATATCTGAGTGAGATAGTTTGATTGTGCGCTACATTTGTACTTGGATCTTAGAATAGATGGAACACTGTGTTTTTCACTGTTGTGGTGTTAACAGTCCCTGTATTGGCCTAATAAAAAACTATGGAAACTACTAGCGTCCACAAACAGGAAACTGGAAATCTCATCACCTCGTAAATGTATGGCACTCCAACTTCCCAGTTCCAAAGTAAACCGTTATATCAGAAAGTGGAGCTATGACAAATACATGGATAACTGCATTCGTTATATTTAGTGTATAGAGGGGTTAAGGTCAAAATAGCTGAATTAAACAATGTAACAGACAATTGTCAAAATTTTACCTGTAACATAAAGATAGGTCCTTTCAATTCAATTCAGTCTATCTCTTTAGCGCCAATTCACACCACGTCATCTCAAGGTACGTTACGGTTCAACCAGATCATAGAGTGAAAATGATTTTAAAGAAAACCAGTTGATTGCATCGACTCATTGACTCGAAGGCAATCCCTCTTTCAAGGTCCTTTTTCTGCGAACACAGAGTAAATTTTAAGTTCAGATTCACTTTCAGCTAAATGAAATCAATCTGCTGTACATGAGGCTCCAGACGTGGTCACAGCTCTACTTTCATTTGATAAAAAATACTGAAAGGCCAAATGTTCAACATGTCGCCTCTAAAAGGACAGTACCTTCTTGTAATTAATTGGATTAAACAATGTGCTAAGCGATAGTGCAGGCCTCTTGGACAATTACTGGGATTTGATAAAGTCCAATAAATCTATTAGAGCTGCTCTTTATTTATCACACAGGTTTATAATGATTCATTCCAAAACAGCTCTATACCAAAATTAGCAGTTGTTACTAGTTTTGGTATAGTAGAGACTAAAGATTGTATGATTTACAAGCTGCTTAGGAGTCTGCAACATTAAGCTAAGAGGCATCTGGTGGTGATGTTTGGTTTATGGAGCTTCATACTGTGTTTTCCCATCAGGCTGGATGGTCGTGTTCTGTTTACCTGCTAAGTGTGAAGGGGAGACTTTTTACAACATGACGCTTTGACATCTTTAATGGTTTTAACATCACTGCTGTGACGCCTTTTTTCCTTTCAACAATCTGCATGAGCTCCAAATTGACATTTGCACTGGGCCTATTTCTTTTTACTTCCCACTCCTGAAGTCCAGAAAATAAACAATAAACTTCAAACTCTTTGGTAGAAGGTTCAGTCAGTAGACTGAACAGATTCAACTGTCAGGTCATTGTTTCTGTCTTTATCAAATACTTTCTAAAATTTTAACCTTGTTGACGTTGGCCAGTCACACATGGGTTAATCAGTCTATCCAGTAATAAAATACAGAAACCAAAGGAGCTGGCTGATGATCAGGAAGTACAGTAGCAGAGTTTAGGAGTGGTGGTCTAGTGGATAGGGCATAGAGAGGTTCTGAGTTCAAGCCCCACTCCCACAGACTGCCACACTGGGTTCCTGGGCAAAGACCCTTAACCCCACACTGCTTCCAGGGCGATGCACAATGGTATGTCTCTCCCCCTCTCTCATACCTCCTTTCCTATGAGTCACTAGAGCCGTAAAAACTCAAAAGAAAAAAAAAAAAAGAAAATAAATGAAGAGAGTTAATTTTATTGGTCTGTACTTGTATCAGTGTAATGACAATAAAAGCTGGATAGAATAGTTGGTTCTATTGGATCAATGTTTCAAGTTTACAAGTTTTTTTCTGAAATGTTAAATACTCCAACATCTAACATTGTCTCAGTTACTGCATTTTTAGATTCAGACAACTTTATTTATCCCTTAGGGACAAATCTGTTCACAGACATTGGTTGCAGCAAAGGGCAAAAACATTCCATACACAGACACATAGTTAGACAGAGATGGACAGGACGGAGGAAAAGCAGTGGATCCAGCCATAAAGTGCAGCAGTTTCCCATCAGCAGCAAAGTCACAAGGGTTGATTTATGTCGTTTGATGTTCCTTTTAAATCAATGTTGTACAGATAATAACTCTGTAGACTGTTTTGTCACTCTGCTGTTCCAAAACAAGTTCACCAACAGTTCAACAACCTTTAGTGCTGCAGACAGAAGTGAATATTTTTCTAACCGGGTGTTTTTTTTTTTCCTCCACAGGAAGTTGGGAGCATTATTGGAAAGGTGAGTTACTAACTGCTGCTGCAGCAGGTTCATTTGTGATCACAGTAAAGCAGCACCTCTGTCACATCATGTCAAATGTGAAGAAACTACCTAATGGAAGAAAAAACAAATATAAATATGTCCACATATTTTAGCTATTTGGCTTTTCAGATCAGAGCGGCGGTCAGTGTAATTCTCCAACAATGTGAAACACTCATTAATCACATGTCCGATTTCCAGTTGGACTCCGTCGTCTGTCTGTCTTTTCTCTGAACAAAAGCTGCTCTCAAGAGTTGCAAGTAAAGCTGCTGTATAAGATGAGACGTGGAAGTGCAACAATTTCTCAATTTCTCAGGAAAATACAAAAATATTATAATACTACAAATATATTAACTTTCTGCTTCGTTGAAGAAAAGGCTTCACAGCATTCGATGCAGGTCCAGCAGATTGTGCATTCTTCCGAAACGCCATCAGACAGCTAAATGTTGAAAAACTTCAAATAATGTCACAGACTCTGCATCCCACTAATAACACCAAACCAAAAATACTGCATATTTGCACCATGTGTATAATCACAAGTCTAGTTGTAAAAGAAAAAGAAAGGGGGGTGGAATATATATATATATATATATTTTTGGAAGCACATATAGCCTAATTAACTTAGTTTATTAACCTAAAGCAATATGCGTGGTATAGTTGTTACATGTCAGGTATGTCAGTCATTGACCTTGACCAAGGCACCTTACAGTAGAACTGCAGTCAGTCCCTAGACTGGCATGGCTATCACTGCCCCTGCATAGTTAGGGACTAATGCAGAGGACAAATATCCCTCTGGGATCAGCTTCATAGTCATGGTAGGCCACTTCTTTGACTTTATTTAGTTTGCTCAGGCTACTCGTAAGACCGCCAAAAGTTGAAATGGCAATATTGTTGCCATTACTGTTAAGATATAGTAGAAATTTTAAACATTCAATGAAATGTCTTAGGTGATAGTATGGGGAATGGTTATTTAGAAAGGGGGATGATTTTTAAGATTTTTTCAAGAAGGGGGATGCTCATCTCCCCTCAACTCAAGTACTGTGTATAATTCTTTGAGCTTCCATATCAATGCGTTTTTTGCACCACGTATGTTTGTTTTTTTTTTTCTCCTACACTGTTTACATTTGATCACTGCTGCACTTTATGGAATGAAAATGAACATTTACTGTGTGGAAAGCTGTACTAAACATAACTCTGTTTATACAAAATGACAGTAAAAGTTGGCTAAGTCTAAAATCTCCTGAATACTCCTATATGCGCAGAAGCAGCAGACGTCCAAATTCTCCTCACTGTCTTCTTTATGCATTAGCAGAGCAGGAAGTGGTCTCCAAAGGCTTGCAGCAGAGCAGAACTGAGTTGCTCTAAAATGAGACTTAGGGAGACTAGTGGGAAACTGAAATGGAGATTTCAGTGACATTTACTTTCTTTATTTACAGCAGGACATTTTTTCTTTATTCCTCAGGGTATTTCATCTTTCTAAGCTGATTTATATGCAACACTCAGAGTCAGTCGCTCTAACCTGTTAGTAGCCTGGAGCATCAGAAAACTGCTTCAGGGCTTCCTGGAGTCGGGAGACAAGAAGCATCATTCATTAAAAGAGCTTTGAATTCTTAACTCTCAAACCCACAATAATGATTGTTTTTCACTGAACTGGCTGCTTTCACTCTGGTAAAATAACTTGGACTCAAGCTTTATGTCTCCATACATTTTAACTAGAGAAAGTATCACAGCATATGCTTTATCCTAAAAACCAAGCGAAGAACATTACTGTAGCTCTTGGTCTTACATGTCAGTCTATGGGACAGCCCCTATTGGCAGGGGTCCTAAAGGACCTACTCTAATGAAAAGTGATGCCATGAGCTGTGAGTTAAACTGTTCCAAAGCACTTCTTTCTGCACTCAGTCTTTAACAATCTAAGCAGAACCTCTTGGATTGGGCATGTTTTCATATACTAACCTGAAAAAAGACCTCACGTTATGAAAGATGTTAATATTTATATTTTCAGTGTTTGCTTTTGGCTTTAATTTGAACAGTTACTTGCTGCAATCTGAGCCTTGCTGCTCACTCAGTCGATCCAAGAAACAGAAAACACTGCTATTGGTTTAATGGTTTCATTGTCAACATTATCTTGTGCTTTAAAAATCCACAAGAACAATGAACAGGGAGTCTGGATGTTTCTGTTGTTGTTGTGTTTTTTTTTACCACCTTCTTCGTCTTTTTGGACAAATGTAGCAACATCTTGCTAATAATGGCCTGAGGTGGAATATAAACAACAACCAGGATAAATGTGGAAAACTCCCATTTCTACTTCATATTAACAGTAAAGGCAATGACAGGCCAGATGTAGAAGGAATGACTATTCCCCTGCTGATTTTTCAGTAACCAACAAATAAAATACAAGAATGTTATTCTTTGGGGAGGAAATATTTTCATTAAATATACAGAAAAGGGATGAAAATGTTATGAATTTGCTTTTCAAACTGAATTTTAGGCTCTGAAGTAACAATTACATCTTGGAAAGGTTTGATATCCTATATCATATATCATATATTAAATGTAAAAACACTTTTAATCATTATAGGATTAAATTGCATCAAAAAAAAAAGATTAAAATAAATAGAAACACACACAACAAACACACATGGTCATAATACACACACACAAGAAACTGCTCCTTTAGTCATGTTGTTCTGGATGCTTAGCTGCTGCAAACTGTTAGTACATTTTTATTTGAAAAAGTAGGTTGTGTGATCCACCCAGGAGGAGTTAGTGAAAGCCAATAAGGCTTAACATTCCCCTGTGTATTCAACTGTTTTTATTGATTAGTGAGTAATATGTTAATTAATCAATGCCCAAATAGACCGTATGATGGGTTTGACTTTGCATAACCATAAACCTCCAGTATATTTAAAGTGATAAGTTTTATAGAACAGAAGAGTCTAGTTTCATTTAAGATGCACATAAACATTTTGGTTTAATAGACAGAATCCTTCTCTTCTGCTCTGTCATTAATGGAGCATTTTATTAAGCCTTTATTATCTCTGAGCACTTCGGCACTGTTCCTTAAAGCCTGTCAAGAACCTTATGTTATTTTCTGCTCCTCTCTCTGCAGAAAGGAGAAACCGTGAAGAGAATACGAGAAGAGGTAAGCCCCTCATCATCTCTCCTCCTCATCTTCTACTGCTGATCCATGACAACCCTTCAAATGCAGCTCACATGTGTTCGGCTAATTACAGCCGCTGCAGCGATCCTCCATGACACAATGACAAGTGAGAGGTATTAGTTTAATTCTCTGTGCCGTATCCAGCTTCCTTATATACATACATATGGTTTTATATATACATTACCATGCATAAAACATTCAGACATTTCTTTTTTTTCTGTTGTAGCCCATATCTGAAGGCCCGGTAGTAAAGGTTTCAATCAGAGCATTCAATGAGCACAGATAAATATGTTACTGAACTGTTTCTATAGATCTGAAGAATGAAAAAATAAATAGCTCAAGGTGTGCGGTGTTTCGGAGCTCCTGCTGTGATTCTAGAAAATAAAACATCTCTTTTAGCATCAAAAGATATGTCTGGGGTGTTGGGGGTAGTGGGTATCTGTCTTCTTTCTTTGCATTAGCATCCATGTCAGAGAGGCAGGCATGAAATGGAGGGAAAAAAATTATAAATCATACTAAATTGGATTATAATAAAGCACAACGAGAAGAAAAAAAACGCTTTTTAAACATTGCCTCTTTCAACGGTGCAGTTTTTTCCTCTCCAACAGTTTATAGAATAGTACATAGAATGGCATTTAGACATGTGCCTAAAAATGTCTTCCATCAAATACAGTCTGAGTCCTGCTTCTATTAGAATGCCAATTTCATTTGCTAAAAGCAGCTGTAAATATGATGTATGATTGTTAAGATGAGAGCGCAACTGTGTTTATCACCAGGAGGAATTAGTGCATGTTAGAGGTCTGCTGTCAATCAAGTGAACTTTTACTGGGATGGAGGAAAACTTGCAGGACGTCCTGTTCTGTAGGGAGAATTTGGCTTTTAAAGCTGCCCTGCTGAGACATGGAGCTGCACGCCAAGTTATGAGGGGAGGTGGTTAGTGTATGCTGGCCTGTTCCAGGATTTGGTTCTTATAAAAAAAAGGGCAAAATTCTGGGTTGCCTTCCAATTTGAGCCTGTTTTGTGGTTGCCATGAGCTGGATGACTGAGAAACTTTTAAAGTAGTAATCTTCAGCCTGCAGCATAGAGGTTTGCAACCTCTGAATTTCCCTTTGGGATTATTGAATGGAATTGAACTGAACTCCAGACAGGTCAAAGGTCACAAAAGGATACCTACTCTTCAGGTTATAGATGATTTCACTCAGTGAAGTTACTTATCATTTTCTTTTGATTTCATTGTGTTATTTATCCCCTGAACATTAAGCTTCATTTTAATGTCTGAGGTTAAAGCAGTTCTTCAAAACTTTCAGTGTTAGTCGCTTTTGGCTCCCCCCACTGGACAAAAACTGTATAGTTTTGCCTGAACGAAGACAGCATTTCCCATGAGGACCAGCAGATTATGTTCTGCGTTGCATGAAATAAGATGCACATCCGGAGAGTTCGGTTGCACTTTATTTAGCCACCTTGCCGACAACATTGGTATTCATTATAGACTCTGTAAACAACAATTCCCAGCATACATAGCGATACCTGCATGGCTACAGTAAGTGATAAAGGAGAGAAGCTTATTTTGCATTTAAAATACAAAATATCCAAATACATCAAGGCTTGTTTCAAGACTGAAAAACAAATGGCCTCCAGGGGAGAGTTAAGGTCCAGAATCGCTGTTGACAAAAAAGACCTGTCCCATAAGGGGCGTTTCCAGCAGCTTTTTCTATTATGCATTTTTAAGTATTGCATCAGAAAAGCTTACTGGAAATAGCAAATTTGGGAAAAAAAAAAAAAAAAAAGTTTTTTGCTCGCTTGAGGTGGTTTTTGGCTTTTGTGAAAAAGCGTTGATGCACAGAAGGGTAGATGGAGACACTTTGTTTGAATTAGCTCTGACTTAGCGAACTTTAACCTCGCATGACTGATCAGCTGTTTCTAATGTCAGCATTTTCCTGGATCTTCCTGTTATGAGAGTAAACATGGCTGGAACCAACATGTCAGCTATGAGCCGACATGTTAACGTAAGAACAGCTTTCTCAGTAGCAATACACTGCAAAAATGATCTAGAAATAAGTAAAAATGTCTTAAATTAAGTGTATCTACCCTTAATTTGAGTAGGTAAATGAGATGATTTGCCAATGAAAGTAGTATCTTTACTCTTAAAATAAGATGATTAGATAATATGAACTTGAAATAATACAATGCAATGGTTTTTTTCTTATTTCAAATATAAATTGTCTTGTTCCATTGGCAAAGTGTCTCACTTTCATCCTCAATTCAAGAAAAAATGTACTTATTTTAAGAAAAAATTACTCACTTAGATTTCCATTTTTTGCAGTGTACACTTATTAAAACTTTCCTCCATTTCTAATCTGAGCTCCAACAGATTGCAGCCTCTACTTCCTATTTATTACGGGCATGCATGAGGCCAAAATGTAGACGATGATGTATCACAATATTACGCTTTGTTAATTTGCTTTAAGACCAGCGGAAACAAGGCACATTTGCATTTGCTTTTTATCAAACTTCCAGAAGTTTGCTTAAAATTCAAAATTCACTTCAATGGAAACACTTTTATATTTACCAGAAACATCTTCATGATCCTAAAGTTTTAAGGGAAAGGATTCTATGGACTGATGGGATAGAAATTGACCTTTAGGAAGGTGTTTTCTCCATCATTTGTTGAGTACAAAACCTACTTTCAGTCAAACACGGTGATGGCAGTATGATGTTGTGAAATTAAAACAATGTAGCAAATAAGAGTGGGTCAATTTTCCTCCCTTGTGATGTTAAAGATTCATTTCCAGTTATCACTAACAACTAAGAAAAAACGATTAGTTTTAGGGGGTAAGTATCTTTTTTTATCTCCTTAAAAATGAAATACTTTCTCATCCATTCCTCTCTGAGTTGAAGCAGTAAAACTAAACAGCAAAGCAGAAGAATTCTGTATCTTTGTGCTTCTCATAAAACTTTTAAATCTCCAGCAGAAGAAGCTTGTTCGGCCAAGCATTATGATCCTCATCGCTGACTACAAACGTCTGTAAATTCATCCAAAATTCTAATACTTTCATTAAAAAGCAGAGCTCCCATGGTTTATTTCCATAATGTTTCCCCGATCAACGGCTGCTCTTGCATCTCCTGAGAAGACTTTTATTTGTAATCAGGCTGCAGCTGCAGCCACATGAATACTTAGACATGGGAATCGATAGGTTGGAATAGTTTGCATTCATCTCAGAGAAAGCAGAACTCTGGCTCATCAGTGACTCACAATGTTCTGAACACCTGCTGTGAATACCAACATTTATATATCAGAGCAAAGATGCAGAGCCTCCCTGAGAGGAGTCGCTTTGGAACTAAAATGATCCCCCAACAAGGAGGTGGAAAACAAGAATCCGAAAGAAATAAACACAATCACCTAAACATGCAGTGCAACAGAGAAACAGAATGTTTAATATAAAGTACATCAGCTAGCAATTTTAATGTAAAGTTATGGTTAAACAATAAATCTGTGGTTCTTACATCATTTAACTCTAAAATATGGATTAATCAGGCATAAAATGTCCAATGGTATGAACACAGGTTATTTCTGATTAGAAAAAAACACATAAAATGACTTCCAGACAGTAAACAGTCAATGCATATGAAAGCATATAGGTCTATTCTGTTGTCAATTACAGATCTGAAATAAAGTAAAATTGGAACTACAGTGAAGATGTTGTTAAATAATTGAATAAAAAGAGATGTTAATAATAAAGACTGTAATCATCAGCACATAGTTTGAAAAGAAACTTTGAATTTAGTGGGTTAACAATAAAAATGACCATCAGCCTCACTGTCTGATGCAATCATGTTGGAAGATTTTACAGCAAAGTAAAAGGGATAAAATTAGTCGATTATCAATATAATGGTTTCTGATGCTTTCTTTGTTTTCGTGTTGAAATGTCTCACTGTTATTGCTATTCCATCTGAGTCCAGGGTCACAACTCTGCTCTGTTGATTTAACAGATTCTAACAGTAATCTAACAGCTGGACAGTAAACTGATTGAATCCCTGGATTCTGGTGATGTTTTTAAGATGGAAGCAGCTTCATTTGATATTTGAGTCAAAAGTACTCATAGTATAGGCTTCTTATTATTTATAGCTATGTTGTCTGATCTAATTAGAATGCGTTTAGGGTCCACACTGGGAAAAACAACCTAGAAATAAGTAAAAATTTCTTAAATCAAGTATATATCCCCTTAATCTTAGTACCGGTAGGTAAGATAAGATATTTAGATAATATGTACTTGTAATAAGACAATGGAGTTGCTTTTTCTTATTTTAAATGTAAATTGTCTTGGCAAAGTATCTCACTTACCTCCTCCATTCAAGACAAAATACACTTATTTTAAGAAAAAAATGACTTATTTAGATTTCATTTATTTGCAGTGCAAAGGGTGAAAATTCCTGCATGAATCTGTTATGAGACCTTAGTAAACCATCAGTTGGTACTCAAGAGAAAAATAAAGGAAACAGCTCTAAGATGAAACCTTGAGAGATGCAATTTTCTAAAGATGAATGTTTGTTGTCAAATAAATTTATTGAATATTGATTTTTCAACACCAAAACCAAAAGTGTGACAGCGCTAAAAAGGGGAAGTGTTATTTCTTATTTCATGGGATTCTGTATCCTCAAAAAATTGCGATGAAGATTGATTGTAATGTGAACTTGAGCGTTTAAAGAGACATTTGTAAAATAGAGTAGGAGCCTAACAGCTGGCTGGGCTTCTGGCGACGTCTTTGAAACACCTGATCAGTTTCATGACAGGAAACAGAAGCATCTTCCAATGCTTCTACAAGTCAATGTTGTGTAGTTTTGGTCCAGCTTTTATAAAGTGATTCTGACCTCATGGTTCTGAAGAACAGGTTTCATTAAATGGAGCATGTTCAGTGTGGACAGCCTATGCTCTACGATGGCTTCATGTTTAGACCATCAGCTGGTGGAGAACCTGTTTGCTT